TATATATATATTATAAAAAGAAATTTATTCTTATATGGTAAATATGTACTTTTTTATAAAGAGTATAACTTCTTTTTATTGGGTAGGTTTCTATACGAATAAAGTCGTATCCCTTGTTGTGACTTCATGTTAGGTGGAAATCAAATTCTATTCTTAGCTTTTTTTAATTAAATATTGAAATTTAATCAAAGTGTTTTTAATTATTTTTCTTTAACAAGAATATTTTTTTTGAAATTCTTCATAACCTCTTATTTTTAATAATATATCATTTTAGTTTATTAATGAAAAAATATTATTTTAATTTATTAAATTAAATTTAATAATATTTTTAAATAAATTATAAATTATAAATAATAATCAACCCTATATAAATTAGCAGAAGAAAAAGTACTTGGTGCCTCAATTTATTTTTTTAAAAAAAGTTATTAGTTAATACTAAGTTTTTGAGTAAGTGTAATTTGTAAGGCTATTTTTTGAAAAATATGGAGAAAGAAAGAATAATTTAAGAGGTAATTACAGATTTATAGTGACAAAGTTGTCTATAAAAATGTGTAGATCAAATGAGATAATCTTCTTTACTAATAGTAAGTTTAAATTAGAATCATATTGTTTTTAGAGACTATTTTTCAATGAAAGTATTTTTAATTATTTTCTTTAAAGATAATATTTTTAAAAAAATTCTTAATTTTATTTATCTCTTTTAATTATTATTTTTGAGTTTTATTTTTAAATTAAATTTTAATATGAAAAAATTATCTATAGTTAAAAAAATCAAAATAAAGAATATTTTTCATAAAATTAAAATATAATTTAAATGGTCAAAAGTATTTATTTATTATAAAATTTATTTTTGTCCCTAAAAAATGAACAAATTCTAATTTTAATCCCTATAAATTATTTTCCCATTATTTGTCAAAATATGATCATTTTACTTATTACATATTTAAACCTAAATTTTAATTATAATATAATTCTTCTATAAAAAAAAACCTATTCATTATAACTTTTTATTATATAAAATAAAAATTAATCTTATACATTACACATATTAAAATATTAGCATTTAATAAAACAGAATTAAATAGAAAAAAAAATAATTAATTAGATTATATTGATGATTTTATTCACTATTCAGTTCAAATTATTGAAAAACTTAAAATTCTAAAAATAAGAAGAAATTGATCAAAAATACAAAAGAATCTCCTCTAAAAATTCTAATCTTCATCAGTTTTATTAATTGGATCTATATCTCAGAACTAAATTAATAAGACAATCCAAAACTAGTATTTGTGCATTATGAAATAATATTGTATCTCTTAATTATTGTTTCGGATTGAACTTAGTTGGAATAATGTTCCGTCATGACTAGAACCGTCAAAATGAGTTGTGGTCTGTGGGTCAACCCGACCCACCTTGAAAATGGGTTGGGCCAGACTAAAATAAATAAAAAAATTATAATAAGTGTGTATATTTCAACTCGGTCCACTTTCACCTGGCCCACCAACCTGGGTGGGCCGGGCAGCCCACCTTTTTTTTTTAAATTGAAATTTGATTAGATTTATAATTAATTATGTATAATGGGACATTGAAATTTTTATTTTGGACTTTTATCATAGTTTGTATTTTATTTTGTATGATGAGCTTTGACTTATGACTATTAATGATGTTAATTTTATGATTATTATGTTAATTTGAAATTTTAATTTTGTTGATAATTTTTTTTACTTTTTTGGTGGGTTGGTGGACTAGCTCGTTTAACTCACCAACATATGATAGACCGGACCGAACCAAGAAAATTTTGAGAAAATTAAAAGTTGGTCGAACCGGATTGACCTGCTTTTAAAGTAAGTCAAAGTGGACCGACCCATATGGATCAAGCTACCCATTTTGACAACTATAATTGTGACCTAACATTGAAATCTGTCAATTACTAGTGTTGATCAAAATCAACATCCAAATACAAAATTCTTAATATAAATCACGAACAATAGATACCAAAAAAAGGAAAAAAAGATAAATAAATTGTATAAAAATAATCTTTATAAGAATTAAAAATTTTAAACTTTTTACTTCATTATATATTTAACATAAAATTATTTATTATTATTTTTAAAATTTTCTCTAAAAATTTAGCATTTAAAAATTTATTTATTTTTTAAGAAACTAAAAGAAAAGAGACATTTCATAGTATTTCCAAATTCAATTCTCATAATATTAAAATAATGTTTAATAGTAGAATCATGTTTCATATATAAATTAATTATATTTTCAAATTTAAAATAATGTTTGGACCATGAAAAAAAAAATTGAATCCTCAAAATATTCCATTATATTCCCTTTCAAACAATAAAAAATTAGTATTTCTATCCTATTTTTATTCTTTTCAATTCTTTCCCTCTCTATTTCCATTAAAAAAAAATGTGTTAAATGGATGTTAGTAGCTACATGTGGCTTCTAACCCTTTCCGTTGCACAAGTTTGAATGTGAAATCTTACACAAAATAAATAAAAATACTCTTATCATATAAAAAATAAATAGTAAAAGATGATAAATTACACAATGCCATCCCTTTTATTACCATTTCAATGTTTTCCCCTGCTTGTTTCAACATTAAACGAGTGATTCACTGATTTGAAAATTAGTGAAAGAAAAACACAAGAATTATCTAGATAGTGCAAGAAAATGGTGATAAGCACAAAGATACATACTAGAATGAAATGAACCACGACTAAGCAGAATCACATCTATAAATACCTCATGAATAATATAATCACATCTAATAATACCTTATGAGTAACATGTATTTAACAAAAGAAAACCTAATATTCTCAAAATTTTACTTAAAAAATTTTGGTCTTCATTCAGGTAGCTATATCATGTAAACTTTGGTCTCCATGCTTGATATAGTATTCAACAGCAGCAGCAAGTAACAAACAGCTGACAACTCCAATTTTGACCAAAGACATAGGATCCAACCTGTTCTTTTTGCTTTTTACTGGTTTCATACCTGCTTCAAGGTGGCTAGGCAAAGCTCTAGATGAGGTCTTCATGAAAGATGAATATGAATCAATTTCTGCTTTCGTTAATGCGGGTTTTAAAGAATTCTTCGCAATCTGGAAATGGCGGTCACAAACAACAGTGGCAGATATGTCTTCCCTTAGAGCTACAATTCCAGCTTCCTTGCATAATCCCTCCAGTTCAGCACCTGTGAAGAGCTCTGTGTCTTCTGCTAGCCTTCTGAGATCAACATCATGCCCTGTTTTCATCTTAAGTGTATGTACACAAAGTATCTCATACCGAGCCTCCAAATCAGGTGGTGGTACATATAGAACCTACCATTCCAGAAAAATAAACTAGAGTGAGATAGAATATTTGACCAACCCCTTCCAATTTGCTAATATCAGTGTCAACTGCTTGAACTATATTTTCAAAATTATTTTTCTTAGTGATTCATGAAAATTCATTCATTATGTTCAGTTATTCACAAATCCTTGGTATATTTTAACTTGTATAATTCAAATTACAAACTGAATAGAGTATAGTAGAAAATATTATTTTGCACCAGATCAAAACGCCCAGGACGCATAAGTGCAGCATCAATTGCATAGGGGCGATTTGTAGCTGCCAAAACAAGAATTCCCTGAAAAAAAAAAAAGGGGATGCAGTTAACAGGCAGAAAGAAACCAGATGCCGTCTATACCATCTCTTGAATCTAGTTTTATGATTACTTTTTCCTTTTGATAAAAGAATTCATTGGTAGAGAAAAAGGACTGGTTGGGAGGATAAAATGTCATTAAAAAACAAACAGCAAAGAAGAAAAAGGCTAACAAACTTTAGCTTCTTCTAAGCCATCAATCTCAGTCAGCAGAGTGGATAAAAGTCTCTCTCCAACTGTAGCAGAATTGCTTGAACTGTCACCCCTGGAATTAAGGGAAAACTCAACATAACTTATTATGCACTAAAAAGAATTAAAAAAAAAAAGGTTCCTGTTCCTATCTTGCAAATCATAGGAATATTTGCATCAAGGAAGTCAATATTGAACTTTAGATGCACCAAAAAATTTTAAACAAAAATTTTACCAAACACAGTTCAGTTTACACAGTTTAATGCAATTCCACTTTACAACATGCTAGATTTTATAACTACTGAGAGTAATCATTGAGAACCACCGCACTTTGGTGTGTTAAGCATTAAAAGATTTGTGCAGAGCAGCCTTTTCCTTATGTTAAAGCAATATGAAATCTGATCACGAAATGCTATCACAATGGGTAAGATGTCTGGAACAAAAACCCAATGCTTTTTAACTTTTTTTTCCATAATGTATTATACACAGAGAAAGTTTACTAACCGTTTGGCAGCTACCACGTCAGCCTCGTCAAAGAATATTATACTGGGTGCCGCAAGGCGTGCTCTCTGAAATGTTTTACGGAGCAAAGCTTCCCCCTCTCCAACATACATCGAATACAATTCTGCACCACTAATTTATCATTCATTACTTATAAATTTTTCCATTATTTAGAAATCAGATTCTCATAGGTACCGAATAGCAAAAACAAATAAGATGCACAGAAAAAAAAATATAATGACAGATCAGAATGTTACAGAACTGAAGTACTAAAAATCTAGGACATATCAAAGAATAACATCACCAATACAGAAAATAATGCAAGTGCTACTTATCAGCAGAATGGGTGGGAGATGACATAGAGGAGAAGCAGGTGTTAACAGGGGTTTTAACTTACAAAACAGACATCAATAATCTAGTCATATTAGTTCACTCATTTCTGAAAAACAATCAACATCGTTCATTTCTTAGCATGAATAATCCAAACAAGTTTTTTTTCTTTTTCTTTTTTTTCCTCATATGAAAAACCATGTATCCTATAACAAATTGGATACTCAATTGAAAAGGATGGTATCGTATTCAGAGAAAGATAAAAATAATTAGTGAGTAGAGTTTGCAGAGACTTGAAAATAAAATAGTGGGTCCTAGTACAGGGGGAGTGCGCCTTTCTCTCTGAAATGACTGCCACTTTCCTAAGAAAAAGGAAAGTATCCATTTCATCGTAGCCATAAACTTCAGTGTTAATAACAACAAAGCCCATTTTCTCCCACACCCAAAGATAAAACTTCAAAGTTTAAAACATTAAAATTATTAAAACCTTAAGGAAAAGAAGGAAGCTTGGGCAGCATGGGCAGCAGCTTTGGCAAGGGTAGTTTTGGAACATCCTGGAGGCCCGTGGAGAAGAATTCCACGTACAGGGGATATTCCCAATCTTGAAAATGCACCAGAATGCTTAATAGGCCATTCGACGGCTTGTTGGAGCTTTTTCTGTTCAAGGACGTATACAGATATCACTAACCTCAGAGATTCTCACTATCAAATCAAATGCAAAAGCAACAAACCTTCAATTCTTTTAATCCACCAATATCTTCCCAAGTCACTTTGGGAATTTCCACAGTAACACCTCTTGTTATACTTGGACCAACAACAGACCTTGCATTCTTCCAATCCTCCATCATTAGACTGAAATTACTAGCATCTTCCTTTGCATTTGAGGATCTTTTAATTGCAAACATGGTAGCTTCACGACACAAAGCCTCCAAATCGGCTCCAACATATCCATTGCACGATGCAGCAATAGACTTCAAATCAAGACTAGGATCCAAGGGAATCGTCTTTGTATACAACTGTAATAAGTTAATGTAAAAAGAACCACATAAATTCATGCTGTCAAACTTCAGGAAACAATAATTCTATGAAACAAGCAAAAAATAAAAGAAAAGAAAAGACTTAATGGAGTAATTCAATTTTTTGAAGATTTTCAAATGCTTTGGTGTAAAATTCTTTATTTGGATGGAGAATTTATAAGAAATTTGAAATTCAAGTATTTGTGAAATTACTCAAAATGTAGAATTTCAAATTCTCCCCAAAAAGTAAGAATTTGAAATTCTCTCTCTTTTTTCTTCTACCTCCATCTCTTTTCTTTTAAAGTCAACATAAAAATTATTAATATTTTTTTAATTATTGAATATTCAAAACTATTCCTTAAATTATTAAATATCATCTGATAATTAATTTTAAATTATTATTTTTATAAAATCAATATTTATAAAAATTGGCTAATTATTTGCAATCCCTTGAATTACGGAATTCTGTTTAGAAGTCTATCTAAGAAGTTATTTCTAATTATTTGGAGATTGTTTCTGATTTTTAGGGATGATTTGTTTCTTTCAATGTAGCATTGTACTATGCTATAAATACTTGGGTAATATCATTTAAAATTATCAATAAGAACCTTTCTTTTCTCTCTTCAGATTGTGATTTTCATTTTCCACATTATAGAATGAGAATACCAAGGCTGGAACTCCAAACTACCTTGCCCTGGCATCATCTGAAGAACTAAATCATCTTAAAAGAGACCATAAATCATCTGAAGAACTAAAGTTACCTTCAGAATTTGAAAACGCTCCTCTTCATTTGGGACAGTAACTTCAATTTCAGCATCAAAACGTCCAGACCTTCTTAGTGCAGGGTCAATTGCATCCACTCTGTGCATGCAAAAACCAGATACATAAAATTCAACGGAGAGAAAATACCCAGAAACAGAAAATTAAGTGTAGGTGAACGACTTTAAGCAGTGTTAAATAGATGACCTGTATTTTGTGATTAGATCCATAGATTTTAAGAGAACAAGATAAGCACATAAGATAAATTTACAGGTTCCATATATCATCCAAAAATAGACGATAAAAGGTATGAAAGAATATCAAATAACAGCACAGCACTCATAATAACCCATCAACATACAGAAAACAACTTGAACCATTCACTGATTTTCTTAATCTCTCAGGAAAAGTACAACAAACTGAAAACACTTGATGGATACACATATAGAAAGATAACTTCTCCAATCGCGTGATATGAAAACTTTAAACTAGAAATATCCAATTTCTAATCATAGTTTACAGGTTTAAAAAGCTGGGCATGAAATAAAATAATATTACAGACTGTGAAGATTGAATTTCATAAGAGAATCAATTTGCATTCATACCCAATAATTTGTATTTCTATAAATTCATAAATAATCTTCCAGAATACAGCAGGTAACCTGTTAGTTGATGCAACCACAACTACACCTGGTGTAGAAAAGGTTGGTTTATTTGAGTCCATCAGTGTAAAGAGTTGGGAAGCAACTCGGGCATCTTGCTCCCTTCTGCATGTAGACAATTTGAAATAATGGCATCAATGAGTTTGTTGCATGTATAAATAAATTCCTTCTAAAGTCAAAAGAATTCACTAGAGCCAGACCCGTATGTTTCACATTATAATGAAGGAACAAAATACTGTATAATACCATAATGCAACAAAAGTTCAAGACTTAAGTTTGATACATCTGGTCCAGAAATAGCAATATAATACTGTATTATTACTGAAATTCTGCCACTTATATCATTATGATATCAAATACAGTGATAAGTTTCTACCGAATTAATAAAACATCCACACCAAAACAGAAACAGACAAAATATATAGAATATCCCAGGCAATGCAAGACGCCTATTCTGTACTACCCCATGCCAATCTATTCATCCGCAAAAATAACTTCATATACAAGTTTCCTAAACAAACAAAATAAACACATAACTTGACAGTCTAGAAAATCAAGTGCAAGGTAGTCATCTTCTGAGTTCAGCTAAACAGCATTTGACACCATTCTGATAACTTCCTTTCAAAAGAGATCAGCATATGAACTCTTAATTATTATCACTTCAAAAACTTAACAGAGAACATCCAACTCTAGCTCAATTGATGCTAATGACAAAAGGAAACACCATTCTTGAAAACTTTCAAAAAAAATTTTTAAGGACTTTAACCTTTTATACACACACATACATATAGGGGATCCACTTACTTTAGAAATATCTCTTATGACACTTACTCTACTTAAATTATCGTTTTATAAATGTTAAATTTCATCAACCAAACCGTTGAATCTTGTCATATCATCTCAATGACCATCTACACCAAACTTGAGTCTTAAGATAAATTGACCATTTATATGTAATCTTATAGTCAATATTTACTTTTTTATAAGGTTTACTATTTATTAAGTTATTTTTAAAGCATCAAATATATTTTAAATTTTTTTTGGTGTATAAATATATTTTAAATTGAATAAACTTTTGTAAATTTGATTTACTTGATTAGAATTTTCAATTTAATAGTTGGATTGATGAAATTTAATGCCTATGAAAAGATATGAAATGAAGTATCACAAGAATTACTCCTGGAGTAAGTGGATTTCACCTCCCCAAAACATATATAGACAAAAATAACAACCTAGTTAAGAAGCAGATTCTTTTAGTGTGTATATACACATTCTTGCCAAACTAATTGAATTTTTATTTATACCTCTGATCATTTCAAAATCTCAAACAAGATGGGACTCAATTATCTCTGTCAAATTAATAAAAATACAAAATGAGTCATCTTGATAAGGACAAAATCACATGCCATATATCCATTATAAAGAGAATAAAGGAAGTTCAAATAATGTGATTGAAATTATAAATTACAAATTTATCAATGAAATGGTATTAAAATAATGTATAAGGCTATAATCTACAACATATCCTCTCAAATCATGCAAATATAAGATATTGGTGCAACACATGAGAGATTTAGAATAAGTTAAGGAGAGTTAAAAAGATTATAACAAAGACAGCTATAAATTATGCAACACTAGAGAGTTCTCTTACAGGAGTTTTTTTTTTTTTTGTTTGTTTCATTTACATTCTCTCTACCATCATAAAATTGTGTTCACAAACTAAATTTATCCTATTTATTAAAAAAGTATGAGACAGAAAAAACAAAAGCCAAGACAAGTCACAAAAGTGTTTGGCATGCAAGTTATTGATTCTTTCATACTTGGAATCTCGGCGAGCACAGAGTGCATCTATTTCATCTATGAAGATAACTGATGACTTGCCCAAGGCTACATGAGATGAAGCCTCTGAAAAAGCCTCACGGAGAATTCTTTCACTTTCACCAGCATGTGCTCTATGAACTGAGTGTGGACTGCAAAATACATAAATAGACAAATAAAGACAAGCAATTGACTCAGGTCAAAGAACTTTGAAATACAAGATCCACCAAACTACATCTTCAAAAGGCAAGAGTACCTAATAATTGTCAAATGCGCCCCACACTCCTGAACAACTGCTCGTACCAAACTTGTCTGTAATGAAACTCACATATAGACACAGATATAAATAATTTTACATTTCATAAGACAAGAAAAATGTAAGGTTAACTCATAGCATGACCATTAAGACATCTCATAATTATTCTATCTATGTTCAACTATTTTCAACCAGCGTATATTGTTAGATCTATTTGTCTTCTTCCATTTATTCCCATTGACACATTCCCTTTATTCCTCCAACAATAATTCAAGATTTTACTGGTAGAATGTTTGCATTTGGTATTCTACATGTGGGCTGCACCCATGGATCAATCTGACTCGGTTTCAGTGGTTTGTCTTCAACCCCTTCAGTATATGAAGTATGATAAGTACCCAAGTCCAAGTAACCTGCTGGCAAGCCCACGTTGGTATATTCTCAAAGGCCCAAGAAAATGATTTAAGTGGGAGGTTAGTTAGAGGAGAGAGAAAGAGGGTAGGAAATCATGTATTCTGTTAAAAAAAGGGAGAACAAAAGGAGTGAGGAGGATCTTTCTCATGTTGACTTTTCAGCACTAGCTTGGGGTTAAGAGAAATCCTCCCTTAGCAGGGAGCATTGATCTGTTTCTCCTAAAACTTATACTGTTTGAAATCAATAATACAATACTCTTTCTCTTCAACAGGAACCAGATTCCTATCAGAACCTCTTAATGGATGGCTCTGGAAGTTATTCAGGAAAGTCACTATGATGGAAAGCTTTCCAGAATTTTTCAACCTGGTTTTCTTAGCAGCTCACCTGTCTTCAATTGCTGCTGTACTGCATCTCCTCCTTGTCTTATTTCCTTTTTCTTTCTCTTTTCCTTATTCTATAGATGGTTCTTAGGTTAAAGGTCCAAATTTTCTTACCACGTTGCCAGGCAACAATACTTATATATGTGTATACATAGTAAGTGTTGAACGTAGCAATAACTAATTGTTACCAGTAATTAATACTTAGGTAATAGGAGATTCATTCACTTTGGGAGTAGCAGATTCAGATTCAAGCACATAGACTGTATCAATCATATACTTAGGAAGTAGAACTCTTAATAATTTTCTTGAAAGGGGACAGGGTAATTTTGGACAACTGAATTGTGGGAACTATTTGGAACAATATCAATTAGTCGTGAAAAAGGATCTAGATTCTAGTTATTTAACAAGTCAGACCATGTTTTATTTATTACAGTCGATGGGAAGTATCTTAAATAACAATGCAGACTGCAGAGTGATTTTTTTTTTGTCCATTTGACCTTGCAGTGAAAATGTGCTGTCATAAAAATTGCTTCTGCAGAAGGTTTGAGAATCAACATGCAAGAAAAAACAGTTTAGGTAGTTTCCCTTGTCAACAAAAGCTACAAAGATTCTGCTTTTGCCTACACAGTTTATTTCTTAGCCAAATAACACTAACTGAACACAAATCCCCATTCCTTTTAAGTTGTGCTTGTAAACTGTGCAGTGAGTGGCCTATCACAGATAGTAACAACGAGGAATGATATATGATTAAATAAACAGAAAAAAAAAAAAAAGCTACAATGGAAAATAAACAAAAATTGTGGCATGTTCTCTATTACATGATAAGTTAACAAAGGGATCATTTTTCAAAAGAAATTACCTTTCCAGTGCCTGGTGGACCATACAGCAGCAATCCTCTTGGCCACTAGAAGGAAATCCAAAAAATTAAACCAAGGGGAATAGGTAATAGGTAAATGACATTACAAAGAACAAGACCCGTGTGATTAAAAGAAGTAAAAACATGAGGGGAAAAAAAATACAGAAAGAAAGAAAATAAAGAGGGGGGGGGGGGGGGGGGGGGGAGGTGGGAATGAACCTTAAGTCCAAGCTTCCGTGCTTCGTGAGAGAAGTGAAGAGGAAATATGATGAGTTCTCTAAGGGCCTGAAGAGCTTGAGTGTTGCCACCAATGGCTTCCTCGGCTCTCCAGTGATTGTTGCTGCCACTGCTGTTGCTGGTGCAGCTTTCCATCTCTGCACACATAAGGCATAACAAACTGATGGGTTAGACAAGTAAAATATTTGGCTTAGAAACATGGCGACCCACACCAAACCAGTCCTTCTTTGGTTTATTATAAATGGGCTGGGCTAAGTTAGTCCACATTTTAAATGTATAAGAGTACTTTTCAATGCTATAGAACTCAATCCAGTCATCAATTCAATCAAGGTATTGGATTGTTGATTCAACCAGTAAGCCACATGTTAAACTGAATATATATGAAACAGCAGTCAATGTTCCCAAGGGTGTTTTTTTAGCCTTTTCTGTCACTATCACATGATCTATCTAACTGGCATTTCAAACAAGAATCAGTTTTTGGTAGGGGAACAGAAAACTTTGTTTACAAGGTGCAGCATATGAACATGGAACAGCAATCACGTAACAAGTACAAATTAAAAGCATCCACCAATTTAATTATATCAATAAATGCTTGCAAAGCATTCCTGATTCCTCTACTCATCTCGCCTATTCTTTGCAAACAATGATTCTCATTTACTATATAATTCCCAACTACAGAACTACTAACCATGAACTGTCAATTATATATTAAAAAAAGTATTACTATCAGTTCAGAGATAAACAGCCTACACTCTCTGCTACATCGATTGTAACCCCACTTGACTAAATAATCAAACAGGTGGTGCGCGTGCCCACATGAAAAAACTCAAGCAAAGAATAATTCCAAAATGGAATAAAATGAAGGGTGAAAGGAAGCATAAGGGAAAAATACCCAGTAAACAAAATGTGAAGTCGAGATTAATAATAACATTCAGCTATGAGCAATAAGATTGAGGAGAAAAACCTTTGTACCAGACAGCTGAACTTATGAGGGAATGACATCTCGACACAGAGAATGAGTGTTTGAGAGTTTGGGTAAATGGGAGGTGGAGTGAGACCAGTGTGGAGTCCTAATTCAACTTGAGAATTATACATTATTAAACATTCTGTGAATGACTAAATGTGTGTTTAGATCAATGTTTTAAAACTCCTACCGGTGATCAACTCGATCAGAGAACTGACTGATTGGGACAAAAATCAAACCAGTGGATTACTAATTGATTTGCATGAGCCAGTCTCTTTTAAAATTTTTGAAAAGATTCATGTAATACATATTTCATTCCTATAAAATTCATATCATACAAAAAAAAAAAAAAAAAAAAGCAGCT